TCAGGGACAGCCCCAGGCCCCAAGTTCAAGCTCCAGTACTGTTGCACGCATGCGTACACACAACCTGTGTTTTAGTAAATCTATAGAATCTAAGGATCTAGATGTCTATATTGTGCTAGTAGCCCTATGCTCAAGCTAATTTCCTCTTCCTTTTCTTCCTCCTCCTTTTTTCTTACTGAGAAACTGGGAATTAAACTCCCAGCCTTATGTTTGCTCTACTCTAACTCCTGAAACTCCTGAACTGTGTCTGGCTCCATTCCCTACTGCCCCAGCTTTCAAGGTAACATTTCTTTATTTAACTGACCCTACCACTCTTAAAAAACAATAACAAAACAATGATTTATCTTCCAAATTAACAACTAAGCATACATGTTTAATCGCCTACTTTTGATATTCTTTGTAACTCTAGCTTAGAGGAAGTGATCGGTAAAGAAAGCACTGGCTTGAGAACAGAAGTGTCAAACACAGACCGAGTTATATAATTCATTGAAGACTATTGACCCAACTGTAAGATACTGTGACTTGAAGCCCTTGTTGCTTTCCGACCATTGGCAGTTGTAATCATCTTTCTTTGACACTGAGATTGACATAGGTTTTGAAATATTCTCAGATAACTCAGTATATTAAGCTTGCCTTTTCTGAAGTTCCAACTTTTTTTTTCTTGTTTTTTTAGATCTAGGAGCAGAGTTGGCTCTGAGTTTGTTTGGAAAAGGTGAGTACAAGCCAGATGGAAAGGTGCTTACAGAGTGCCCTGTATTATGATGATGGTAGCTCCCAAATGTTCTCTGTTTCTAAAAGTGTAATTTCTGATGCATCTTGGGAGATTTGGGAGATGCTCAGTCACACTTTGCAATCATAGAAATTATTACTTAAATAGGTCAACCGTACAAAGAGTGGTTGGTTTTGTTTCCATAATGCTGGTATTTCAGAATTTCTATGGGTCAAGTCATTCAGGTGCCATCCATAGACAACTCCCTATGTGAACACCATGGAAGGGAGGGTGGGGGAGTCAGTCAGTTATTTCTTTCTTTATTCTTTTCTTTCTTTTTTTTAAAAACACAGAAGCTGTGTTCTAAGCTTTGACTATTTTATTTTATTTTATTTTATTTATTTTTGGATGATGGGACTGGGACTTAAACTCAGGGCCCAGGTACTGTCCCTTAGCTTTTTTTGCTCAAGGCTAGCTTTACAACTTGAGCCACAGACCCACTTTGGGAATTTTTGCTGGTTTTATTGGAGAAAAGAGTCTCAGGGACTTTCCTGACTGGCTTCGAACTGTGATCCTCAGATCTTAGTCTCCTGAATAGCTAAGATTACAGGCATCAGCCACCATATCTGGCTAATTGCCAGTGTTTTTGAGAATGTTAACCTGACAACTTATACTCAGGTTTGTTTGTTTTGGAAGAAAAAATAATTTATGTAAGTGGGACTCTTCCCCCACCTTCGGCTCCAAAATTACAAAGGGTCACAAAGAATATGGTGATCTTGACTCAAAGAGTAAAATGAGGATACTGGTTTCATAGTTCCTGTATTTTGTATCTTGGGGTTTTGATGACTTTCTGTGATTGATTTGTTGTAGGAAATGTGAACATACAATACTATTCACTCTGATAGTGACCCAGAGGAAAAAAAAAAAAAACTGGGGCAGGACTGGCAAATTTATAAGTATCTGAGCACAAGACAAAACCAAAACAATGTTTAAGATGAGATTACAGAAGATTACACTTGATAAAGCAAAAATCTCTAAGGTTTGGTTTCTACAAAAAAAATTAATTCAAATGTCTTTTATGTGTAAAGTGAAACTTTGAAAAAATATGGCTGGATGTGGCCAGGTTATATGGGTGCTATGGGAGCTATAACTTTAATCTGATTTGTAATGTCTAATTTGTAGTCCATAGGTGGGTTTTTATTTTCCATGCAGAACTTCTCGTAATGTGGAAAAAATGAGGAAAATCCACAGAGAAGGATGTATATTCACATACTGTACTTGCTTGAGTAACTGGCTATGGAGAATTTGTGGGACTATGGGCCAAGTACCCATGGTGGTAACCAGTTAAGGGAAAGAAGAGCTTGCAAGACATATAAGTATCTATTGGTCTAGTTAGAAGGGTAAATATCCATTGGGATAGTGAGAAAGAACCGGAAGATATAATAGGGCTTTTGTCATGTGAACCACTCTACAAAGAAGGAAAAGTATGGAAGATTTTAAAGGATAATTTACGTAGCTCTTATTAGAAGGAAAGAATTAAAAAGAAAACAAAACCCATGTTCTTTTTGTTCACTACCTTCATATAGACATTACCAGTCCTTACAGCTATATCCTTTAGGGTATTTAAGTCCAATGTTCGGGTATTGTTTGCTATATACCTGCCTCCTGCACAGTGCCTGGCATACCAAATAACATAGTAGACATTTCAAACACAAAGAAACTGATGTACCTCCTAGTCAATCTCTATCCTCCTGACCACCCACAAAATCACTTTTTTTAAGGGGGGTAAGAGGGGTGTCAGTCATAGGCTGGAACTCAGGGCCTGGGCACTATCCTTGAGCTCCTTTGCTCAAGGATAGCACTCTACCACTTTCACAGCATCACTTCTGGTTTCCTGATGGTTAATTGGAGATAAGAGTCTCGAAGACTTTCCTGCACAGGGTGGCTTTGAACCATGATCCTCAGATCTCAGCACCCTGAGTAGCTAGGATTACAGGCATGAGCCACTGGCTGCTGGCCACTGTTTTGTTTTGTTTTTGACCATACAGTTGCTTTGTCTATTTTAGAAATTCATCTAAATTGATTCATTCAGTTAGCATTGATGATCAGCTTATTTCCCTTATGTATTTTTTTTAGATTATCCATGTTGCCACAAACGAAGTTACCTCTCAAAATATACTGATTAGCTTTAAGAAAAAATCCTTGATTTACCAAGGATTTTAGTCAATTACATGTTTCGAAATATAGCCATTACAGTTTGAATGGTATTAAGCTCTTGGGGATTTAAGGCTACTGTTTTGTTGATGACTCAATAGAGATGGGTCAAGTTTTCTTTTTTTTTGGGGGGGGGGGATATTGAGGCACTGTCTTTTAAATTTAAAAGGAGAAAGAGATCCAAGGTCAGTTGTGATTACAGCCATGTGCAACAGGCCTGACAGTAAGTAGATACAAGCCTTACCCCGTCTCTCAGCTGTAGGTGTGATGCCTACCAGGTGTTTTTTTACAGCCATCCTCCCCTCCCCCGGTACATCTACTTACAATTAAAAGGCAGGCTATAGTTGTTAAGGGGGGGGGGAATACCTATATTTATTTCAGCAGCAGTTCCCCATTTTCCAGGGAGGGAGGCTGAGAACTTGCTTTAGGGAAGTAGAGAATAGCTTTCATTTATGTTGGTGCCCCAAATGTGACTGGCGTCTTGGGGAGTCCCGATTCACTGGAAGAGCTCCAACTGAAAAATTTCAGAAAGAATCCCCTGTAGAACACAACTGTCTTCCCTCAAAATGGATTCCCAAGCTTAAACAGGATGAGAGGCTCTGTGCTATTTGATGTGAAAATTCTGTGTTCATTTTTTTTTTAACTTGATGTTCTTGTGAGTGCTCATCAGGAGGTTTTTAACTCTTTAGAAATCGACATTTTCTTTTCTGTTAAATGGGCTAAATCCACCCATGTGTTAGAGCTAATTTTGATTTATACGCAGCCTGGATTGTTACCTGTAGGTACCTGCAGTTTCGGGTAGCTCTCTGAGGCTAATCTAGATGGCTGGATAATCAAAACTACTTCCAGAAGGGAATGGGGGGACAGAACATGGGCCAGTAAGTAGAGAATTTAAGTTTGTAGATATTAGGAATTTCAAGACCACATCAACGTCCACGGATTGTGCTGTTGTTTTAGCACCTTCCTTTTGCTTTAAAGTCATTACTGGGCCTTTTCTAATGGCCCACACCTGTAATCTCAGCATTCTGGAGAGGTGGGCAAGAGAAACTCCAATCCAGCCAGGGAAAAGGAAGGACAGGAAGCTCAATTTCCAAAACAAAATACAAAAGCAAAGAGCTAGGGCAAGAACCTTCACCTAACAAAGGCAAGACCCTGGGATTATCCCTAGTACTGCAAAGAAAAAAATTTACTAAGCCCCTAATAAGGAGGATGGGCGAGGGTTGAGCCAAGAAGGGGTTGAACAGGAAGTGTACATGTTTGTGTGTGTGTGTGTGTGGGGGGGTGTTTATGGAAACTTGGATGATAAAAGTCTACTCAGGATTACTGTTAATAACTGGATGTTTGTACTGAGGCTGACTGGGGGCTGTGGGGAGACTCTGGTCACATTAGGAAATACCCAGGAGGCTGCCGGCCTAAGCTAGCCACTAACATGACTCGTTATAAACCTGTTCTGCTCTTGGCTATATTCTCCTCCAATGTGTTTTCTCTGGAATGATTATCAACCCGGGCCTGTTACCGTAAGAAACAAATAAACAGCCTTTCTTGGGCTGTTAAAAATGCCAAGATTGTTCACAAAACAAACAAAAAACCCATCCTAGGTAGCTATCAACCAAGGATGAGATCAGTTAGCTGCCTTATTTCCCCCATCAGAATCCTATCTAGGAAAACACTGTCCACGTCAAGCCTCTCATCAGATGTAATCAGAAGATTACCACAAATACCTGCTATGGGATGCGGTCTTAGGCTGGACCGGGCTACCCCCAGCCCCCCTCTCCCCCAGCCCCCCTCTCCCCGGCCCCCCTCTCCCCCTCTCCCCGTTCCCCCTTTGATCCACTGCAGTTCTTCAGGCCCCACAGGGTGGTAGGGCTTGGAGCTCTCAGCGGGCCACTCCACAGGCACGCTTTTCTGCAGGACACAACCAACATCGGGGCTAAAACTTTGCCCACCCTGGAATGCCACTCTTTCGGGGGGAGGGGGGGTCCCCTGGAACACCGCGGCTAACCCGCTTAGGAGAGGGGCTGGCAGAGGCTTCCGCCCGCCCGCCCGCCGGCCCGAGCGCTTTCCTTTGACCTTGATGATGACCAGGAGTGTCGCGGTTAATTTCGAGGCCCGCCTCAAGGTGGAAAATGGCAAGGCTTTCCCAGGCCACCCCCAGACAAGCTGGGTTCCGCTGCAGGCCCTGGCAGCGCGAGGTCCTTTCCAGGCCCACCTCCTACCACCCAAAGAGCGGCTCGGAGGCCGCCTACAGGTGCCGGCCCGGCACTGCGACCCGGGCGCAGGGGCGGCGTCTCAGCCCACCAGCATCTCCCTCGTCTCCCGCGCCCGGAGCGCAACCCTGGCGCGCCCGCCGCCCGCTGCTCCCGGCGCGGTTTGGAAAGGAAGCTGGGAGCCCGGGGAGGCTCCACACACACTTCAATTTGGGAGGAGGAGGTGGCGGGCGGCCGAGGCTTTCCCTCGAAGCTGCGGCAAGCCTGGCTCCGGGAAAAGTTTTTTCCAAAGTTCCCAGCAGCGTCTGCCCAGGTCGCCTCCGCCGGGCGAGCCGACGCCGACGGCGCGAACGCCAGCCCCGCCGCCGCCGCCGCCGCCTCTGCCGCCGCCAGCGCCGCGCTCTGGGGCGGCTCGCGCGCTCCCCAGCTCCCGGGCCGTGCTCCCGGCGGGCAGGCCGGCCCTCCTCCGGGGGCGAAAGCCGCAGCTGACGCAGGCAGCTCGGAAGGCGGAAGCCGCCCCGCTCCGACCGCTCCGCCAGCGCCCTGGCGCCTACTGCACCCAGGGCCCCGCACTAGCGGGGCAAAGGCGCCCGAGGGGGCGGACACCACCCGAGGCACCCCGGGCGTCCCCGAGCCGCAGCCCCTTCCAAATCCCTCCCTGCGCGCTCTTCTTTTCTGCCTAGTCTGAAGTCCCGAAGGCCGGCGTCTGTGTGTGTGTGTGTGTGTGTGTGTGTGTGTTGGGGGGGGGACGAGCAGGACGTTCACATCACCCGATGCATTCCGGAGCCCCCCCCCCCACAACCCCTTCCAAGTTTCTCCCCGTACTCCCCTCCCCGTCAGCAGCGAGAAGAGGGGCGGGGCACTGCACAGCCACGCCCCCTCATGAATATTAATAAGCGCGCATGCGCCTTGTCCGGCGTGCTGGGTAGAGGTGGCCAGCCCCAGCCGCGGCTCCCAGACGGGCTCTCCGGGTCCCTCTCTGAGAGCCAGGCGGGCACGCGTCATTGTGTTACCTGCAGCCGGCCGGCGAGCTAGGCTCAGGTTTTTTTTTTTTTTGTTTTAAATCTCCCCCTCCTTCCCCCGCTTTCCAAGCAGCTGATCTGAAAAGGAATAAAAGGCTGCGCATAATCATAATAATAAAGGAAGGGGAGCGCGAGAGAAGGAAAGAAAGCCGGGAGGTGGAAAAGGAGGGGGCAGCGCCTCAAAAGAAGCGATCAGAATAATAAAAGGAGGCCGGGCTTTTTGCCTTCTGGAACGGGCCGCTCTTGAAAGGGCTTTTTGAAAAGTGGTGTTGTTTTCCAGTCGTGCATGCTCCAATCGGCGGTGTATATCAGAGCCGGGACGCGTCGGCCGCCGGGGCAGCGGCGACGGCAGCACCGGCGCGAGGACCAGCGCGAGCAGCAGCAGCGGCGGCGGCGGCGGCGGCGGCCCGAGTGCCCGCGGCGCGCGGCGCAGCGATGCGGTCCCCACGGACGCGCGGCCGGCCCGGGCGCCCCCTGAGCCTCCTGCTCGCCCTCCTCTGTGCCCTGCGAGCCAAGGTAGGATCCTGCAGGGTCCGGGCCTCCCTCCCGCCCCCCTCCCACCCCGGCGGCCCTCTCCCTTTCCCTCGGCGGCGCCCTGCACGCGGGCGGTTGGGCGCCAAGCAGCGGGCTCCGGAGCCCTGGGGCGCCCGGCCTATGCGCCCGACGGGCTGCACCTGGGCTGGAGAGCACCGGTTCCCACTTGGGGATTTCTGGAGGCTGCGTTCTTGGTTTATTTTCGAGGCCAGTCGTCGGTTCCCCCCCCCCCCCACGCCCGTATTTATGCGTTTTTATACTCTTCGACTCACGTCGAGTCCTCGAACCGAGAGTTTCAAAACTGAATTTTTACTCGGTGCCGAAAGCCTCGTGAGGACGGGGAGGGAGGCGGAAGGGGGAGGGAAGTCTTCACTTTTCACCCTCGGAGCCAACTTTCTCCCGCGCTGCGCTGACCTCCCCCCCCCTCCCTTCCTCGGCCCGGCAGGTGTGCGGGGCGTCGGGGCAATTCGAATTGGAGATCCTGTCCATGCAGAACGTGAACGGAGAACTGCAGAACGGAAACTGCTGCGGTGGCTCCCGGAACCCTGGGGACCGCAAATGCACCCGCGACGAGTGTGACACGTACTTCAAAGTGTGCCTCAAGGAGTATCAGTCCCGCGTCACGGCCGGGGGCCCCTGCAGCTTCGGCTCGGGGTCCACGCCTGTCATCGGGGGCAACACCTTCAACCTCAAGGCCAGCCGCGGCCACGACCGCAATCGCATCGTGCTGCCCTTCAGTTTTGCCTGGCCGGTAAGTGACCCGACTCCGCGAGGGAGGCCCGGGCAGGAGCGTGTGGCTCGCACCTCTACCTTCTCCCCCCCACTTGCTATCCCCCTTGTTTGAAGGATTTATAGTGCCTTGCCACTCGGTTCCAACTTGGGGGCGTTCTTATGGAGGTGGGCAAATCAAACTCTAGTGAGACGTTGGGAGTAAGACCGGGCCGGGCGGGTCCCATCCTCACTGCTGTTTGTTTAATGCGTAAAAGTGTGTGTGTGTGTGTGTTGGGGGGGGGGGGGAGGTCCCCAGAGAGGCTGGTGAGGGATGGCTCCTAAGGAGGCCGGTTTAAACTTGCAACTTGGAAACACCCGTAATCATGATCCCCCTCCCCCCACCTAAGAGGTCATTGTAGGTGATCTCTTGGCTTAATTAATTAAACCTGGTGCGCGGCGGTGGCCGGCGATTCCGCGCAGTTCTGGCCTGCAAAAGCCGTCCAAGTTGGCACCCTCCCCTTCTTTCCCGTGGACGGCCAGCCCAGCGGGCGGGTGCGTCCTTCCTGGAGGGTGTGGGGGAGCCGGCTTCCCGGAGGCTCCCCGGGAGATTTTTGGTCTACCCAAGGGCGCTCTCCCGGTTGGGCCCAAAGATCAGGGGCGGCCGCCTGCGACCAGACGCGGGGGTGGGGTAGCGATGGGGCGGGGGGGGGGGGGGTGTCTCCGCGCCGAGGCTAAAGACCCGGGCACCCCTGCCCCCTGCCGGCCCCTGCCGGCCTTTGCGCCCGCCTCCGCCCCCGCGCCCTGCAGCCCTTGTGGCCTCACTTCCAGCGGTTCCCGAGCCCGAGCTCTTGAACAGCTGTGTTTGCAAACTTCCCCGGGAAGGGCGGGCGCACACACTCCCCGTCCGGCGGGCACCCGCCCCCCCCCCCCCACCTCCCGTAAACCTCTTCAGGGGCTATTCCAAGGTTAGGAAGGGACGGGCCCGCTGGAGATAGTGCTTTTGGGTGCAAGTGCAGGGACCTTTCTCCCCTCCTCCAAGGCCTCTTGGAGCAGCTCGAGGGCTGGGCCCAGCTGGCAGACGCGGTAGCAAGCAGGGCCCTTGCAACATTCCAAAATGGGTGGAAGGAAGATGGGTGCGATTGCAGAAAGAGGAGGAAAGGGAAATGTTGGGGGTGTGCCCGCTGCCCAGGAGGTGTGACTCACTGCCAGGATTGGGACTTGGCTCAGCGTGTACTCTCTGGGGTGAGAGGGGGGAGCTCCCGAGCCCTGAGGTTTGCTTTCCACCACGTGCTCCTGTGGGGTGCGCTCTGCTGCCTCCTATCTGCCAGCCCAGGCTGTGATTCCCAGCAGCAGGAGGGGAGGGGGAGTGTGTCTGGCGAGGTCTGGGTGTGAGGTGTGGGGTCTACCGTTGGTTTCAGGAGTTGGTATTGTAAAGCGTCCTCAGCTTTAAGACAGTTAGACAAAGACATGCTATTAAATGGTCTTTTAAAAACTGTATTTGAAGTTCTCCCGAAAACTTCTTGAGAGGCTGTTTCTGTTGCGCTAATTCACTTTTACAGTGTTTGTCCCGTTTGTTAATCCCCTATTAGGGAGAACATGAAGCTAAAGAGGCCGGCCACCTTTAAATCTGGCTGGGCCCAAGCTGATGGGCCAATACTGGCTGCCCTTGAACTGTGTTTGGAGTTGAGGAAGGGGCCCGCAGGTGGTTCCACCCTCCCAAGGATCAGTCTGAGCCCCTTGCTTTTCACAAGACCATAAAAGGAATCTTATTAGTGATGTGGAAAAGCAGCAGGCCTGGCCAAGGTTTATTTAGGAGAGTAGGGTCAGAGGATGGTTTGTGTGAAAACAGAGGCCTCCTCCAAAGGCTGGCTGTGGAAAACTGACCTAGAAGGTGTGTCAGTCTGCTTTTGACATTTGGCAGAGTCCTCCCTGGAGAAGTAGCGGAAATGGTGTGAGAGGGCAGGGGAGGAGATGGATTCGCTAGGGCTCTTCTGTGCCTTCAGGCCCCATGGGTCACAAGCTATGAAATAGACTCCCAGCGTTTCTAGCATGGGGTAGGGAGTGGGGAGGGGGGGGGGGGAATGTGAGGGCAACATTGAGAATGTGGTTCTTTTGAAGTTGGGCCAAATGTGTGTATCACTCATAAACAAGTCTCCACCCTGCTGCCCCCAAAAGGCCTCCTGTGAAACATAAGCTTTATTTCCCAAGAGAAATTGGAGTTTAGGTGTATTGTTTGAGTTTATTTTCCTGAATGTGGTTAGAGAAACACTACAGTCTGTAACTTTGATGAATGACCCCAGGGTGAATGTAAACTTCAGCGAAGGCCCTCAGCTGAGCAAGTGTTGAAGTTCAGTGGCACAGGTTCATTTACCTGGGCTATTAACCTAACTATCTTAAAAGACTGTTTTCTGGGTCTAGAGGTATGGCTGGATGGCAGAGTGTTTGTCTCACATGCACAATGCCCTAGCAAAAAAAGGGAAATGGATTTCCTTGGATTGGTAATGCTGAGTGCGGTATAGAACTGAAGGGGTAAGAAGAGGATATATGGTTTTCAGAACAAAACTGGAGCTTTCCCTGGGTCTTCCAGCTATGAATTGTGTCCTAAAGTTGTTGACATGCCAAGAACAGTGGTTGAGGAGCAAGGATAGGTCAGTTGGGAGAATGTGGTGGAATTCATATCTTTTATTTGGCATGATGACCCCAATCAAGCAAGGGAGAAGAGGAGGAAATGATTTGAAATACAATCCACATTCCACTGTGCATGTGGGAAGCTCTGTAGAGGTAGGCCTGCCTGCCATATATCATGTGGAATTACATTCCACTTAGTGTCCACCGCTCTAGCCCTGGTTTTGTAGCTTTTCACCAGTGGCTTATAATTGCTCTACCATCTCTGACACAAGGGGACATGACTTGAAGCAACAACTAGCCTGATTTATGTTCCTCAAATGGGAGCCCGAGTTAGAAATCATTATAAGGAGTAATTGGGCTTAACAAGAGGATTTGGGAATAACCAAATGGTTGACTTTCACCTCCCACAGTTTAGTGCCTTCTTATTAAAAATGTTTGTGTAATTACCACTCCTTTTTGGAAATCTTAAGCACCCACTGGGATACCTTTGGTAGCCCTCAAATGAAATGAATCTGGAGACACTTTGGGGGAAACATTTGAAGGATCTGGCTTCATATTTAACCACCACTGACCCCATTCAAAAGCTTGCTTAGGTCGACTTAATTATTTCTGGAAAATCCAAGAAATGTTGATTCTTACATACCAGAGGGATGCCAGCCATGGCCCCTTTCCCATTTAATGGTCTAACTGACCAGTTGGCAGGGGGTTGAATAATTGGCCACCATGGCGTTAATCACAGAATGTGATTGACTAGTCTTTGCCTTTGCCTCATCTTTCCTATAATAGGA